GTTCCTACTGTTCGCTTGACTCAATTATCTCTCTCTTCAACACGCTGGTTTTTCTCGCCAGGCTTATATATTAAGAAAGGAGGCATCCCGATCAGACTAGAGTTGCTGGGCAAATTCATGATCCTTCGAGAAACTTTAGCGCGCATGCTCCCAACGTCGCGTGACTTCCGCTGTCGTAACAATATGTTATGTCCACTGCTACTGGCATACGATGTTACTTCGAGTGGGGGAGTGATTTTTTTCTAACTACTCTGCTATTGTGGCTCATGGTATGATGATAACGTATTGTTGATGATATAGTCCACATTCTTGCACCTAATCTGAAACTGTAGATGGTATTTTGATATAAGCCATTCTTTTCAAAGCATGTAGGCCCTACTTCGGATGCCGTGGTAGCGATGAAACTTTTGTTTCCAGACATGACTAAAATTTCTTTATCACCCTATATGTTATTGATAGCGGTATTGCAATAACCTGGGGTTTTCTCGCTGATTTTGACCACCTTCCCATCATCCACATAAGCGGCTTCATCGAAATACTGCATGGCGGCAGTGTTAAATTCGAGGGTGGACGACACTAAACGTTGTCCAGCCACAATTTTGGAATATTTTAATTTTACTGTTTTTGTCTCAGTGTTAGGTAGTCTTATACAGTCCACTCACTATTTTATGTAGTAGTCTATTTACTTACACCACCAGCTTAAGAGGGTGTGTAAGTTTTCCAAAGTTTATTGGTGACCTGAAAAATTTTACCTCCCGAAAATTTGCATGTCTACACTTTATATTTTATCTTCTACGGGGTTAAGGAAAAAATGTTCATCCATTTTGAAAATATTTTGAATAACATAATGAAAGTGAGTTACTTCTCATGTGGCATAAGAAATAAGGTATATATATTCAGGATTTAAAAGTATACTCGTCTCACCATCATTATATTTAGGTACAAAAAGTTTTTACAAGCAAACCGCACAAGTGATCTTTAAATATCCACAAGTTATTTAGTTATAACAGAACAAAAAGTAATGCATCAAGAAGTGTTCTTTCCCTGTTACCATTGATATTTTAGGCCTCAAAACGAGATGGTTTGAGAGACCGGAGTTTGGAACAATTTGTGTAGCCATATAGCATAAACAATCACCCAATAAACTAGACTTCATAGGGTTTACGGCAGTAATTAAGTCACAGCTAATCTACTTTCATTGGCACGCGATTTATGGCCGACCTGCGTGTAATTTCCTAGCTAAAATATGATGTAAGTTTATACAGAAAATGCGGTATTATAATTATACTCTTTAAGTCCTTTAAAAGTGTAGAGAAAAGAGAACTAGCTTCTACCTCAAGTTAAAAAATAATTAAAATTAACTAAACGTACTTCTGCGTGGTCCTCGAAATTATTCTGTTTCAAAAGTAAATAAAACCAAAATTAAGAGTAACAAGTATTTTTATTTCTTGCTTTTCAAGTTCATAGGTCATGCTGTGTTGTAGCCTACAGAGTGCATAATTCTTCTCGTGATTCATGGCATGCATACGCACGTTTACCTGATGTTACGACAGTACAAATTGCAACGTTACGCGTTCCTTATGTGACGTCATTTTAGTGGTGTCTACTGATTGATTGACAGACAACACATTTCTGTGTATTGTGGTGCGAGTGGTTAAAACAGGTGACCCCTCCAGGCAGCCTAAGGCCCACTTTCGAGGAAATAAGTTGAAATAACTCACTGCGAAATCCAATTGGCTAGGCCAAAGAAACTCAAACAGAACCATTTGAAGTCTCAGAAATAGAAACGATGACAGGAACCCCCAAGAAAAAGAACCAAAAGACATAGTTTCAACCGAAACAAAGTAAGAAAACTATTCAGACTGACACACCGACGATCCAGATACCGGAAACAGTTACAAGACAGCGCTAGCAAACACGACGAACCTATACTTCCGCCTTCTTTTGCGCTGAAGAAGAATGTTCTAACTCCACGGACTTCTACCCACCAGACTACGACGCAATTGAAGAAGATTTTCAAGTTTTAGTTTCATAATCCGTATTAACTTAGCAAGATCTGTTTACATTCACATGTATTTTCACTAATCATTCTTCTCCCCATTTCTAGGTATCCAGTCCGGGCGCTGGTTGGCAAAATTATTTGGCGCTCAATCAGCGAAAGTAGATTTTCTCGGAGCAGTCCTGTTCCCCTCGACGTGGGATACATGCTTCTTTCTCACTTTTAATGGCAAAGCCTGGATGTTTGATACTTCGACATCTCTAATAAGGGCGGCTTTTGCTTTGCATTCCTTGCCTCGATGTCATAACCCTTACAATCATATCAATGGTCCTTCAATGTTTATCTTAATCGTTAAGCCTGTAAATCAAAAACAAGTATATGTATATGTGTGTATATGTATATGTATATATATTTGTATTTTGCATAATTTTAACATTGTTTTCATAAAAATCTTTCGCGAGCGGGGCGAAGGGAACACTAATATCCCTGAACACCCCAGTTGAGGAAATTTTCTTTCCTTTTAAAACTAAACACCTGCCACAAATAATAATAATAATAAACAACAAGTAATCCTCAATAGGCAAGATTAGAGTAAATTAATTAGCCTGGCATGGCCAGGTGGTTAGCTCACTTGACTTGCAATATGAGGGTCGCTGATTCGAATCCCCGTCCCACCAAACATGTTCGCCCTTTCAGCAGTGGGGGCGTCATCATGTGATAGTCAATCCCACTATGCGTTGGTAAAAGAGTAGCCCAAGAGTTGGCGGTGGGTCGTGATAACTAGCTGCCTTCCCTCCAGTCTTTCACTGCTAAATTAGGGATGGCTAGCGCAGATAGCCCTCGTGCAGCTTTGCACGAAATTCAAACCTTTTTATTAATCATATTTTCTGTGCGCCAGCAATACCAAGCGTGGTGGCCCGGCATGGCTAGGTGGTTAGGGCGCTCGACTCGCAATCTGCGGGTTCGAATCCCCGTTACACCCTTTCAGC